AATATAAAAATATCAAATAAAAATTTGGTATTTTACGTTTTACTGTTGTTGTTCATTTTTCTTTTTTGTTTTTTTTTTTGTTATATTACTTATCTATTTTCGCAATTTCTGTTTTCAATTTTATTTTTATTTTTTTTATTTGGAATATTTTTGTATCATTTTATTATTGCAGTTAAAATTTCTGTTGACGTATTTTATTGAAAATTTTAAAATATAATATTTGCATTTTTTATTAAATATGAAAATACAACAAATTATTTATATTTAAAAATAAAAAAGAAATGTTGAAATATTTCAATAAATTTTCATATTTTTATAGACACTTGACAACGTTCCGTGAGTGGTTCAGTTTGATATGCTGTGGTTATGTGGATTTTTTGCAATTTCGTATTGTTGATTTTGAGCTTTAAATATTATTTTTTAATTTGTAATATCTTAACAGCTTAATTAAAATGTATTGATATAGTTAATAAGAGAAATGTTAATAAAATATAAACTCTATTTTTAAATGCTTTTAAAAGATGATTATACTTTTTCAATAATTAATGCGGACGTGCCATATTCATGATAAAATATTTTTACATTGTCGTGGTTTGTATATTTAATTTATATTTGAGAATATAATAAATAAAATAACAGAGTGGTAAAATAAATAATTTATAATTTATTTCGTAGAGAATTTGAAAACATTGTATACAGTATATATGCGAACACATTTTTTTTGTTATTTGTAAATTTTAAGCCATATTTATTTGCAGGAATTTATTAAAAAATTTTTCATCCACTTTTTTACTATTACTATCTTAAGTTTCTTGTTATTTCGGCATTTGTATGCTTTTAGCTGGCACTTTGACTTAAATGTCACAACGCGTTTTAAGTTGAAGTTTGAAGTAAAGTGCTTGAGTAGGACCATGTATAACCATTGTGATGTTTTCAATACATTACTTAAATTTTTTAATAATCTAAAAAAAAATATTTCTTCTTGTTTGCAGTTTCTTGTTATTTCGCCAATTTTGATGCTTTTAGCTGGTATTTTGACTCTTGCTAATTTTCATGTATATATTTCGAGCAAATAGAGCACGCTACGCTTTTCCTTAAGTGGGCCTATTTACGCTATCATGAACGTGAGAAGAACGTGACGACAACATGAACTTAACATACAGTTCAGTTTTCACTATCATGAACTGTTATGAAGCTTGAAATTTGTTTTGTTTTGTGTAAACGTATAAAATGCTTATGTGTAGCAGTGCAAAACACAGAAATTCAAAATATACACAAACACCAAAACATAACATTGTATATGCATGCGTCTCAAACTGAAAAAAAGCAACAATTTTCGTTGCTTAATATTCATGAACTAACATCATACTCTCTTCCCTCTCCAATCTATCGAAAACCGGTTTTCAAGTTCATGTTCATGTTACGTTCATGATAGTGTAAATTGGGCCAGTGAGTGATATATTTTATAAATTTTTCTTCTTTTTTAGTGCAGTTTTTAAACCCTTATTTACGATTTGGTGTTGTTAGCTGCTATTTAGACTTTTGGTTATTTTGTTGTAGACACTTTAGCTAATTTATGCATTGCCAATTACGTGGGCTAAGTAAGGTAACTTCGTAATTGATATAAATTGAGTTGAGTATGGTCATTTACAAATATACAGTGCCCCATATTCAATATGGTATATAACTCATTCAATTTAGTATGTAATCTTGAGGATTTTCATTGTTTTTATATTGATTTATTATACTAATTGCAATTTCCACAATTAAGAACTGACTTTAATAGACATGTGAATTATCATGTTCAAAATACCTTAAGTCGTTTCGACTATCTTATATACAAGGTCTCACCATTCAATAAGGGAAAAATTTATTTCTCGGACATCAGTGTGGTTAAAAAAAGAAACTTAAATAAATAAAATCACTTGACCGAATAAAAAGAAAATTTATGGCAGAAAAAATGTTCTGTGGCCAGACAAGAGTAAATCACTTTTGTGCTTGTTTGGTATTTATTGCAAAAATTTGCAATAATAAATTGCCTGCACATAAGTATCTACTCGTACGAATGTTTGGGAAAAAAGTTTATTAATTTCGATATCCAAACAAGCAACACTTAACCTTTTTGCCAATTACAACTCAAGCATATTTTCATGCTTTATTAACATTTATTGTCAATAAATTAAATGAATAAAATAAATAAATTCATTCAATTGTCAACTGCAATAAAATTCCTAATTGTATAATAGAATAAAAATCTATGAAATTTATTTGTTTTCAAGATTTTACATAATTTAGATTATTTACAATTTGAATTTATTAAATTGAAAACAATTTAAAAATATAGGTATATTGTATTTAACTTTATTACGCATGAATAAAAGATTCAAATGTTTTAAATATAAATATCCAATTCTGTGTACATACTTAGTTTTCGTTAAAATATTATTAATATTTTTTTTTTAATTTTTAATTAAAATTTATTTACATGTGTTTTTTTACGAGTACAATCACAAAAGGATTTGTTTTATGTGGAACACTTGATCATATATTTTATAATAAAATGAATTTTGCATAAATACATTTTATATTTCGTATGTAAATACATTTTATTATTTTGTATTATTATATAAAAGTAATTCATACCGAAGTGTGTAAAAGTAATCAACCGTTCACAATGAATCCATCAAAATTAAATGCAAATTGAAATAATTTCATTAAAAAATTCAAACCGTACACAGCACCCAATTACCCATTACCCCCGAAACCCAATTGACTCTTTCAATTGCCAATATTGCAACGGATACTTTTATAGCTGTATTTTTGCGTGTACGTCCTTAGCTATGAGAGTATATATATTCCAGTATATATTTATATGTAAATAAATGTGTATATAGATATCTAGTCTATGCGATTTAACAAAAACCAATTTAATTTGCATTTTCATTATATGATTTCGTTATATGATTTTCACATTAATGTGCTCAATATTTTTTTGTATTACATATTTGCTGAATTAATTGTGGTACAAAATCCCTATAAAAACACAAACAGAATTGGAATTCCCGGGTACACAACTTGTAATGTAATACGAACACTGAATTACACAAAACAGCCGGAATGTGTAATTTGCAAATTATAATTTTCGAATAAAAAACAAAAACTTCATTTGAATGTCTGTCCTTATGGAATGAAGTATCACACCTCTCAGCAGCTCTTATTTAAGCCATTTTAGGCTAATAATGGTTTGTTATTATTATTCTATCTCTTCATTTAATTGTTGAATTTCTAAATTTCATTACGAATCTACATATTTTATTAAAATTGATATTTTGATGAATAATATAACATACATTTTTTATTCAACCACAAATTAAATTTCACACTATATGTATAAAATAAGTAATATGGTATAGCTTATACGAATTACTGAAACTGAGCAATCTCAGTCAGATTCTTATCTAGAAATAAGATACAAATACATTAATGAATGGCAACATAGGTGGGACCATTTCCAAAAATTAAGATGGACGCATTCGTTAATTTCAAATGTAAAAGTTTGAATTAACTGTAGATCTGGAGACTACGGATTTCAATTAACGCAGTTAATTACGGGGCATGAATGTTTCGGTGAATACTTTTACTAGTTCAGATAGCAAGTAACCCGTACTGTCAGTTTTGTCCAGATAAAATTGAGTGTCCCGACTATATAATTGGAGACTGTGTAAGATTCGTAGATACTAGACAAAATCTAGAGATACTTATTGCTGAAGCTTGGTCTTCTACTATGGTAATGCAGATATTGGCAAGCATTTAAGAGTGGAGCCTTTACATGTACATAATCTCTAGAACAATAAACATTGTTAAAGTGGACGAAAACACTTAGTACCAGTGAACGAAAATAAACAGTACAGTATCGTAGTGTACTGCTCATGTCCGAAACACATCAAAAAATTTTTAAAGTTTGTGTCCGCGAACACAAACTTTATTTTTAGAGTTTGTGTACTTTTCACGAAGGTAGTGCTCATTATAACGATCTTTTTACGAAGGTAGTGCTCATTTTAGTTTTCTTTTGCCGAAGGTAGTGTACTTTTTAGTGATCATTTTCCTAAGGTAGTGGTTTTTTAGAGTTTGTCGAACAAAACGATTTGGAAACGTTTTTAATGTGCATTGTTGTTGGTTCGTTTGCATAAGAAGAAGAAAAAATTTTGTTTGCATTTGTAGTGCATGTATTTTGTTTGTGTTTTTAAATAAAGATATTGTGTATGCATTTATTGATGCATATTTAATATTAGGGGATGAATTACATAGATATAATATTTTATTGCGGTTGGATGATTTGTATTATTGCGGTTGTATCAAAGAAACTTTGATAACTTTCAAATGTTAAGTTTGAAAGAATAATTTTTGGCCGAAAACAAGGCATATGCTGAGATTTTCCAATAAGTAAAATCAAAAGCTTCGTGAATTAAACCGAGTTAATCAAAAGCTTAAATATTGTTAAATTCCTCAAAAATCAGAAACATGTTTTTTGCTGCACTTCGATTAATGTTTTTATGATTGAAATATCCTTTTCTCTCTCATATTCTTACATAAAGCGAAACTAGTTGAAAATATGTAGTGTTTAACAAAGCCTCAAACACTACTATTCGCCAGCTAGAAATTTCAGCAAGCCAGGCTCTGAGAAGACTTTTCAAGGTACCATGGTACGTTAGGATGAATGGTATCCTCAGAGATCTCAAGATTGATCTGATCAAAGAATACATAAAGGATAAAGCCCTGAAATTATTTACGAAAACTGACAGGCTTATCAATACCGCGTTATCGAATCTCAGAATGGTTCAGGCTCCTCGGGGAGGTGTGCAAATCTGAGGTCAATTATTGCTTAGTCTGATGAAGTGATAAAAAATAATCCAGTCAAGGGGTATAGTGGAATTATGAAGGAACCTCGCAGTTAATAGAGAGTAAAAGTCCTCAAGTGCACTGACTCAACTAGCCTCAACATAAATAAAAGTTCTAATTGTATTTAAAATTTATATTTGTAGCAATAAAATAGTGTTTCGGTGTACTTCAAATTTAAATCAACATTATTTTAAGATATTTTATTTGCAAAAATTTTAAAAGATTTGTTATTAATGTAATTTTCTCTTCTATATCCTACAAAGGATATCATGTATATTTTTATTATAAATTTTATTTATCTCTGGATATATTTATTTATAAAATTAAAAATTAAATTTGAAATATTAGAAATGTCAAATAATAAAATATAATGTCTCTTTAAATTTATTAAATATTTTACTAGATTCCTACAAATGCAAGTAGTGTTTCAGATATATGTGTATCATTTATAGAAGAGTAAATTTCGCTATGTAATTGCACTCGTTGACAACTTCATTTGACATCCATTTAAATATTGTAATATTCCTGCAACATTTATACACATATCGAGCATACGAACATGAGTACAAGGACTTTTATTCCAGAATTATTCTACTCGTTTTATTGTTATTGCATTCAATAAAGTAAAGTTTTGTATCTTTTTTACCATTTCACCATACTGCATCAGTTTATTTTAATGACAGAAAAAATGACTTTCATCTATTAAAATTACTGGAATGCTCCTTTTGTTTAGTTTGTAAATTGTTCTAGTAGTTTTCTTTTTCTTTTTTTGCAGAGCTACAATTGTATATTTTTTTTTTGCAATTTCTTTTAACTGCCGTGATTTATATCTAGAGCAGTAAAACCTTATCAGAGTTTTAGGGAATCATCATTATGCTGATTATCAGTGAAACTTTTATCTTATTTCTTATTTTTTTCAATTTTTTATATTCTGTTATTACAACAATCCCAAAGAGAAAGAAGTAAAAGTCATTTAAAAACATTTAACCTCATTTTTTACTACGATTGCTGCTACTTTTGCTACTACTTTTGCAGCAACCATAATGGTTTTTACTATTTTTTTTATTTTTGCTAATATTGGTATTATGCACTTTGTTTTACCACACACAAAGGCAAAATATCGATGCAAAATCGAAAATATTCTGCAATTTAGTAAATTCTTTTTTTAAACTATTTGCTTTTTTTATTCAACTTCATGTATAGATGGCTTTCTTGGCAGAGTTGCTTGCACACACAGAAACATATAAGCAAGTGTGCATTTCTAAGTAGGAAATGTTGTAGTTTGATATTGGCAACGTTTAAAATTCTAAAGTTAAAACAAAATGAAAGTAGTGTAGTATATAGGTATATATATGTGTGTATGTGTGAATGAAAAAATAAATTAAAGCCTGATTTTGGCATAAGAAATTTGCGGCAGGCAAGGATTCTTTTTATTTCCTGCCATTTCGAACTTTGCACACACACACACACACACACTAACATTTAGATGGAGTGCAAAAAGTACCGCTGAACTAAGTATACACAAAGAGAAAAATAACAACTAAAAATAGACTCAATGAAAAAAATTGATATAGAATAGAATAAGAACAAAAACACAGGCAAACAACGTTGCTCCCAAGTGCACTTTAAAAACAGAGGTGACTACCTATACCCTACCAAGTCAAATACGTTTGCGTTTATATTAAAAGGTCCTTCGACTGTTGTTAGCTTTGCTGTTGCCTGCGCCATTGCCGTTGCCGTTGCCGTTGCCGTTACCATTGCACTGTTATTCCCGTTCCATATAAATACTCGTGTATGTATATTTAGCGTACTCCTATACCTCCACTGCTACTTTATTTTATTCCTTACTAGCTATGCGTCGCTTTATGCCATCATTTCTATTCATTTCAGTTCATTTGCTCGATTGTGTGAATCATCATCTTCATTGGTTGAAGCGAAAACAAAAAAAAAAAACTAGGGTTGCCGTCTACAATTTTTTGCGCTCAAGAGTGTTTCGTTCCATTTCGTTTTTTTCTACATTTTTTGTTCAGTTTTAATTTTTAAAAAGGTTATTATGGCATGTGTTATAAAAAGGTGAACTAAAGCATAAGCAGAAAAACACAAAATCACCCGTAATTTAAGAAACTTTTTACCCTCAGGATTTCAGAAACTTTTTATAACATTTATTTACTAAACTTCAACTACCGAATGAATGTGAAAGAATATAGAAATGAAAAACCAAACTGGGGCTTTAATCGAGAGTATAATTTAAACTATGAAACATGAAGTATATTTGCTAATGAAATTGAAGTCTGGTTTTGTCTGGGCACGGCATAGTTCAAACCACAGCTCTATATACCGAAAGGGGAGTTATACATTGTAAATTTATACGTTTTTGTTGTATTTTAAAAAGTATATTTTTTAATTAAATTGCATCAAGCAAATGGGTATTTTAATTGATTGCAAAAATTTTATTTATTATTTTTTTCTGTACAAATTACTTTAATGAAATTAAACGAAAAGTTATAGAAATATTTTAAATATTTAATTTTATCAATGTACATTAAAAAAGGTATAATATTTTTGCAATCTGAAATTGTATTGAATTTTTTTTAAAAATTTGAACTTATACATTTACATTTTTATAAAATGTTAACTTAATAATCAAAAAGAATTGTCCTCAAAACTAATCTGAAATATTCAATAAAAAAAGTCAAATATTTAGATAAGTGTTAAAGTCTTCAAACATACTAGTCTTCAATATTGCTTAAAGCACCACTCAGATGTTTTATACTACAATGTGTCATATGTTACTCAGATAAACGTAATAATTGTTTATATATATAACTAATTCATTACAATAAATAAAATAGTGAAATGTATACATAATAAAAAATTAATAATACAAAAATAGTCAACTTGTTTTACTAAAAAATTAGGTCATACAATACTATATAGGAATTATCAAAATATATTAAAGTTAACTTACTCCACGATAAGTTCTTACTCCACGATAAATTGGCATATGATGTTATTTCAACAATGGCTATCTTAGTATACACGGAGAGATCAGATGTGTCAACTTATTAGCACAGAATTGCTGTATACAGTGAAGACTGAGAAGAATATGACAGCAAACCAAGTGCCCAGATGACAAATGTTTATATAATGTAATGGCAGATAATTCAAAAAACCGTGTTCCAAAAATTTATCTCTCTCAAAAAAGGTTACCCCTTGAAAAACAAAGAACATAGCTAATGGAGGGCAACTTAATATTTGTAACGTTAGTTAAAAAAACACAATCCCATTAAAAACTTAAAGGATGAGGTATACAGATAAAGTAAGGCTATTAAAAGGACTTGCAGTATTGACTTTAATATGACATTTCGATTAGTCAGAAAAAAGTGACAGTCGTTAAAGTGAAACTACTTTTGTTATTTTAAAAACAATGGATTCAAAACAATGTCGTGTGTTAATTTATCATTGCTTCTTGATGAAGAAAAATACTGTACAAGCTCAGCAATGGCTTCAAAAGTTTTATCCGGACTCTGCTCCATTGAAAAGAACCATTTGTTATTGGTTTGCTGAATTTAATAACTGTGGTCGCACAGACACCGATGATGGTGAACGTTCTGGTCGTGTAATTGTGGTGGTTACTCCAGAATACATCAAAAAAGTCCAGAAATTGGTTATATCTGACCGTAAATTGAAATTGGAGCAGTGTTGCTAATTTATTTCCTTCAGTCTTAGACTAGAAATGTACTGTTTTTTGTTGTATTTCTAGCAAGAAAAATAAACTAATATTTACGCATTATTCCTGTACATAAATACCATTAGAATTGCAAAACTTTCAAAATAATATTTTTTAACATTTAATATGTATATATTATTTAGATATCGAGTATTATTCAAATCAATATTCGAAACATTGTTAAGGTAGGTTATCTCCTTTGAAAGCCACAATTCAGAACTCCACATATGTTCTTTCAGAATGCATTATATAGTTTGTATCAAATTCACTAATGTAAAAAAATTTAATACTCCTGTGAACTCCTATCAAGGATAACCATAAAATAAAAATTTCCTTCAGTTATACAAACATATAAATTAATTGACCTTTTTTCTTAAACGTGGGCGTACTAAAAATACTTAAATTTCCAATTAGTCATACACGAAAACCATACAATGACAGCAACAAATACGACTGAACATCAACCAAAACAAACAAACCATATAACAACTTTCAACGAACAAAAAAAAATATCATGGGTTTCTTCCCTTCATCAAAGGACTCAGCATAAAAAGTAATCAAAATTCCATACGAAAAAATGAATGCATTCATGCGTAGTAAAGAAGCAGCACTCATACACTTCAAACACTATTCCCAACAACAAAAACAACTCCAAAAAATATACCAACACACTAAAATTGATATGAAAAGGAATTACTTAAAAAAACCCCATCCAAAAAAGAAAGTAAATAAAGAAATAAAAATTAAAAATATGAAAAAGTCATTAGTGGCGCATTCATTTATTGACTCAAAAAATACTACGAAAAAAAAACAAAGACAAAAAATGTTTTTGCAATTTGTTAAAACAAAGCAGACGAGAACTTAGCAAGGCTCAGAAAAAAAAGAGCCTAATGAAAAGTGCTTAAATGAAAACTGACAAATGTAACAAATAAATGAATATAAGACAGGCGAGGCGTAGGCCAACTCAAACCATAAAAAACCATAAATGATAAAAGGTGAACACGTAAATAAGGTGGGTTGGTGGCATGGGGTTATGGTGTCCACTGTTTGTGTTTCGTGTTTCAGTGGCTATGGCAACGACCGCTACAACGTATAAATTTATTGATAAGACCACAACGTAATAGAATTCTTAATTGTAATACAGTTATTTATATTTAGTTTTACGTCTACATAGTTCTAATGATACACCTTAAAGGTTAAAATAACAATTTTCAATTATTTATTATATATTACATTCGTTACAATATAGCAATAACGTCTGCTGCACGTAGTGTACTAAAAGATTGAATTATATTCATCAATATATTAAATCGATGATAATATAATATACAATTTAATTACAACATTATATATTATTTGACAATATAATATTTGTTTAATAATATTAGTCAAACCGATTTAATATTTATTTATAAAAAAAAATAATATATATATATGTATATATAAATATATATAAAATTAAATACATAAATATATTTTATATAAATATATTTTATATATAAGTATAAATTATGGCGTACCATTAGACGTTTTCTATTGGTAAATCTGGGGTAATTTTCTCAATCGAGATGCTCGTTTAATGCAAAATTATTTCCGATTGGTGAATCTGGGGCTAAACGTATAACACTCGAAATTAGCTTATAACACTCTAGATATTTAGTCAAAGTAGAAAAATTACCCTGAAATTAACAGCTGTTTTATATGATTTGACAAATAAAATGTGATTTAGTGCGATATACATACATATGTATTTCTGAAAAATATAAATGTCTACTCACACTACTACAAAAATGTAAGATTACTCTAAAAATGTTCGATTGAGCAACAAAATTTTACAGATCGAGA